TCAAAACTGAACTTTAACAGCTTCACAGCAGGCTTTCATCACTGTTAGGCATTTAAGCTCTGTGTTAGTTTAAATGTATGGAAGGAAAAAGTGCATTAAACACAAATGGTTTCTCTGCAGGCCTTAGGGACTCCCCACAGCATTTTTTTTAAACCAGCAGAGTTCTGCTTTTCCATTTTCCAGCAGCCATGCTGCACAGGCTGACACTTTATATCAACTACAGACTCCAAGTCCCAGAGCTTAACTCTGGCTCCCTTGGCAATCCCAAGACCTTATGCCATCCAGTGCACTTCCTAGCCTCCAGCTCTGATGCCTCAGATAGCAAAATCATATCCCTCTTTTGACACATGTAAATAACACACTGGAACGTTCTGTCATGGCTGCCACCAAGAGGATGAACTATTTTTTTTTTTTTGTTTTTTAGATAGAACAAATAACTACAGTTGCATCACATCAAATTGTCAAGGCCAACAAAGCAGTGAAACATATTGTGATAACATCACTTAACTGCTGCACCAGGTGAGAAGGAAGGTCCTCACCTTTGCCTATCAGGATTCTGAGTACTACTCAGCTTCAGAAAAGCTCTCCTTGTCATGTTGGCACCACTTCCCCCCAAAATCAACAAAGCTGTACGCAGTGCTAAACTGCAATTCATTCCAAGTGAGTGGCACGGCATTTTATTTTGGCTTGCAGATACATTTTCACAAGGAATAGACATCCAATCTTCTTGCCAGAAGCAGGTAAGAACAGACGTGAGCAAGAAATATGCTGCTGTGCAATAGCTGGTGTAAGAATTATACTGTTTACCTGGAAGAACTATTTTGGGGAGTGCCAAAGAGAAAGATGCAATCATAATGAGCTGCAATTGGGAAAATGTGCTAAATCATCTCCTCAGCCCAAGAATTGTTGACTCTGATTTTGAAATACAAGCATTTATGCAGCAAAAGCAAGGTTTCTAATGATTACATGGGAGGACAGATGAAAATTCTCTCAATTTTTACCCACTTTACAAGGGCACTTATGAATTTTGTGGCTTTTTAGAGAGAAATTTAAAAAAACAAAGTGCATAAAAACTGCATAATCTTCATCTCTCTTCTGTTCTTCTCCAGAGCACTAGATTACAAAAATGTCAACGAGTGAGTTATTACATCACCAAAAAAAAAAAAAAAAAAAAAAAAAAGAGGATACCAAATTGAGGGGAAAATAGCTAGGACACTGTATTTGGAATGTGGGAGAAAGAGAAAAAAGATCTTCCATAAACTCAGCCAAACCTAAATACACAATAATCCAGTTTAATCAAGGGACATGGAAGACAAAAGCCTGACATCCTACAGGTCTTACTCCTGCTTCCACAAACCCCAGCAGCTTCATACTAGAAGCCAGTCTGTCACCCTTCTCAGTCCTATCGTTGTGCCCCACAAAATATCCCCTCCAGGACTCACTCCTGCTGGTTGCCTCTGGGCTCAGAGAGGGCCACCCTCTATCTAGGGCAGAAGAGGACAGGGAAAGCTAGAGCTACTCCCCACCTCTGCCCCAAGGCATTGGATGGAAGCAGAGGAGCCTGTGTCTGGCTCACTCAGCAAAAAACAACCAAGGAAGCTGCAGCCATTGTCAGAAGCACTAGAAAGATATGCTTTAAAGAACAGAATACCCTCTATTTCCCCACGTTAACATAGAAAAATTAAAAACACATTTCTTCTGGACTACTATTATTGCTATTATAATCATCATCATACCTGAAGATGACTGCTACCTGAAGTTCAGTTTCACCCTTAACTGTCAGCTCAAAGACAGTAGCAGCCACTCTCAGTGATCCTAAGGAGGACTTCATGTTATGTATGGCTTGCTACACACAAGGCAAAAGCAAGTTTCTCAGAAACCCCCGCATAATTCTGACACAAAGCAATTACAGAAGAGACAAGAATTTAAGGAACACAGAATTTCCTCTGTCTATGGTGAAGTTCCTAAAAAAAAAAATTTTACTTCACAACATCAGCATGAATCTATCATAGAAAATCCCCCACTCAACAAAATGCCCAGGAGACCTACGGAACAACTGACAGCACAGGGGAAGCAAAGAATCCCTTGTGACACCTCACAGGGAAGTCAGCAGCGCCTTGTGCCCAGGAAGTGGGAAAATGAACTTAAACATCATCTTACTGCATGAGTCAGTGTAGACTAAATGCAATAAGCTGATGGAAAGGAGCACAGACTGTAAAAGCATGTGGGAAAGTATCTCCTCTTCCCCAGTTTCTCAAAGAGTGTATATGGTTTGGATAGTGTCCCAAATGAGGCCCAGAGGCAGCACTCTGATATCACTCAGGAGATCTATGAAACTCCTACCATAGTTGAAAACAGCAGAAGGAGGAGAGCGGAGAAACTAATATCGGAATACCTTCTACAATCCGAGGAGAAATAAAGAAGAGTTAAAGAGAAGTCAACTGGTATTTAAACACAGGAAGTGCCAGAGATAGACAGCGGGAAGAAAATGAAACTGAAGAAGTCAGTTAGAAAGACAGCAAAACAAATGGAAAGACAAACTAGCAATCCTCTTGGAAAAATGCTAACAAACATCCCAGAAGTGAAGCAATTTTATTTGGGCCTAGAAGACTCCAAAGTGCTGAAATTGCTTCTTAGCTCATCCTCTGCTTGAAAGAATTAATTGCAAAATTCCTTCCCCAAAGGTGAGTAGTCCATTAACCCATTAATCCTCCAGAATGACATAGTGATGAAAATTCCTTAGTGACTCAGAAGTTTGACCTAAATTAGCCCTTCAGGGAGAAAAGTGATCAGGCAAGGGGATGAGGAGCACTTGTAACAAAGGTCTGTAACTAAACATGGCAGCAGAGCATAGAAATATGTCTCTGATTTTGGCATTAAGAAGTGATACAAGTAGAACAAGGGCTGTGCTCACCAAAAGTATCTCCCTTGCGGCGATACACATGTTGAAACAAGAAAAGGCACACCTCAGCCCATCTGCAGTTACACTATTTTACTTTTCTTTAAGCTCCTGTCTCAACTCAAGCCAGGCTTGGCCATTATTTCACAGCTGATGAAAACTATACATTTGGATTCTTAGAATAAGACAAGATTACATACTGAAGTGTGTATCAGGCTTAGTGACAAATAATCTTCTTACATCAAACGGAGAGTTGTCATGAATTAATGTTTTAAGGTCACTTTCAAGGGAGGGATTCACCACCATCAGAGTTTAAGCCTCAAAACCACTGAAATCCGTGGCTGTGTACACACAATGCCACAGAAGTTTAAATGAGCCTAAAACACACTGCACTACCTAGTCAAAACCTCTCAGGAATCACTGCCTACATACTACACAATTTAGTACACAGGAGGACTATGCAATCATCTTCACATCCAGTAGGAAGCAATAAAAAGTATACACAACTTAAAAAAACGTGCAAGATACCCCTCACATTGCACTGCTTGCTATACCCTCTGTTTTCAAGCAAGTTTCCCGAGAAATCTGTCCGTTCCTGGAAGTATCGCCATGAATGACGGCAGAGGTGATGCCCAAAGACCGCTCCTCCCTTCCAGTGGTGCGCAAAGGATGTGGCTAAGCCCACCTGTGCCAGGGCCTGAGCCAGCGTGAGACTGGCCACAGGCAGTGTGGGGTACAGAAGTGATGCCACAGAACAGTCACTGCCCGCTCGGGAACTCATCTACATGAGTGATACCACTGCGGGGCTGCTCGACCGCCTAATAAAGCCCATTTTTGGCAACTCCTTGAAACACGTTTTAGTAGAGACTTTAGCAGAGATGCTCGAAAGGATTAACAAGTTCCCAGGAAACGCGGCGGGGATGCTAACCGCCCTGGAAAGCAGGGGAGATGCCCACTCTCCAGCACGGCCTGCCGCGCAGGGGCGCGGGCGCCCGGCGGCGCAGCTCCCGCCGGGGCGCGCACCGCAGGCCCGGCCCGGCCCGGCGGCCGCGCTGCCCGCTCGCCCCGGGGCCGAGCGCCGACCCTGCCCGGGACCCCCTGCGCCCCGGGCTGCCGGCACCAGGGCGGGGCTGCGGCTCCCCGCGGCGGCCGCGCACCTGGTGAAGGCGAAGGCCATGAGGCTGAGGATGGTGAAGCTGAGGAGGGTGATGGTGTGCGGGCGGTAGAAGAACTCCAGCGTGATGTCCTCCACCTGCTGCTCATTGATCATGCGGAAGTGCAGGCGGTAATTTACGTCGTCCTTGCTCAGGGTCCGGCTCCCCACGCACGACGCCATCTCGCCCTCTCTCCCCTCGTCTCGGCGCGGCTGTGGTGGCGCGGGGCGGCGCGGCCCAAGCCAGCCCGGCCGCCCGCCCGCAGCGCGACCCGCCGAGCGCAGCCGAGCGGGGCAGCGCCGCGCCCAGGGGCGGAGCTCGCCCGCCACGCCCACGAGGCCAGGGAGGGAGAGAGCAACGCAGCGCGGAGGGGGGAGACGGGGCTACATCGCCCCTTTAGAACACGCGCAGAGGAGGACGCTGCTGCCTGCTCCCCCTCTCCGTTGCCTCCTAAGTGGTCTCGCCGGGGCCGGGCCGGGGAGCGGAGCGCACACGTGGGCCGCGCGGTGCCGCGCCGGGCCGGGCCGGGCCGTGGGACGCAGGTGAGGCGCGGCTGGGTGCCGCTGCTCCCGGGCCGGGCGGCGCTGCTCTGTCTCCCGCAGGCTGCACGCAGCGGCCGCCGGCGTGGGGAGCCCTGTGAGGGGAGGGCGGCGGGCGCGGCCCGGCTCAGCCTCCCCGCCCTGTGGAGAGTGTGCGGTGCCGGATTTACGCAGAGGGCCGCGTCCCCCGGGAGGGTTTAGGTCCTGGCTGGGCTTCCCCCGCGCTCCCAAGGCAGCGGCTGGCCTAGAGGGCGGCGGGCGATGGCCTCAGCCCCGGCTCCTCCGTTTGTCGCGCGTTTAAAGCCTTAAGGCGGCTAGGTGGTGCTTTGTAGTGAGGCATTGCTGTGGCGCCCGGGGGATTCACGCTGCCGGCTCCACGGCGAGTGTCACTCCGCAGCCTTTTCCTGCCCGTAGGATGCTCCGCGGTGCTGAGGTGGATGATGGCGGCGTGGGCTCGGCACGTCTCCCGCTGGGGCTGCCTGCTGGGCGCGGCCCGTGCTGCTGAGCTCCCTCGCAGGCTGGGGAGCGGCGGCCGCCCCGCGCGGGCCTGCCGCCAGCTCGCCCGTGCGGCCGCGCTGCCCGCCGGAAAGGAGATTGTTCTGGGCAGGCTGCCGGCATGCCGGCGGCTCTCTGCAGGGAGCCGATCCCCGCCCGATAGCGACAAGGACGGATCCTTCTCTTCTCCCGAAAGTCACTTGCCTTCAGTACAACAGGGGCAAGCAAACCCAGAAATATTACCTGATCTGAATGCGAAAATACTGGACGAAGGTAAGAGGCTTTAAGGGATGCCATTTCTCCGAATCCTCAAATTATGTTTTTAGTATGCTGCGGTTTAATCCCAGCTGGGTTCTCCTTTTTTGCCCTGTTTACCTAATTTTTTTTTTTGCTCCGTTTACCTAAAATATGTATCTGGAGTTCCTGACTTTCACTTCTGATTAGCTCCATAGTTAATTCAAATAGTTACGGTTGATGTAGCATGCAAAGAATGTCTTTAAAGTGAGATCAAAGTATATTTGGGTAGAAATGTAGGTCTAGAGATGCCATTTAAAGGAGTTTTCATAACCCTACCTGCATCTGCTGAACGTTTGCCTTTCCCTCACAGATGTGGTAGTACAAACTAAAGGATTCTGGTTTGGGGTTTTTTGGGTTTTTGGATTTGGTGGTTTTTAAAGGTTTTTTTTTGTGAGGCTTTTTGGAGGTTATTTTGTTTGTTTTGGTTTTTGGGGGGGTATTTTTTTGTTGGTTTGGTTGTTTTGTTTTTTTGCGGGGGGGGGTGTTTTTTTTGTTTTTTTTTTTAATTTTGAGCGAGGCTGGGGGATTGCACGCCTGAAGCAGCTCACACTCCACGGTTTGAGGGATCAAGGTTGACCAACAGGAGGCAGTGGTGTGAAGCCTCATTAAGCGCTGCTGTGCTGGGAAATGCTCGCCCAACTGTCTTCTGAGGACAGGACACGAAAGGAGATAAATACAGCGGTGCCTTGGTGTTGTTACCCTGAGGAAATTTACTCCACTACTTTTACATCTAAACAAGGATTATGATATTTCCATTCTTTTAAATTACTTTGGGTATGCTGGAGAAACTTGCTCTGAATTACTAAGCAGCCTTGTATGTTCAGATTCTGCTTTGAGCCCAGCCAGCCTGTGTGGGAATCCAGAGCTTCCCTCTGGCTGCCCTGGAAGGCCTGGGACCCTGGCAGGGGGTCAGGAACCCCCCTGTACAGAGCCCTGAGAGACATTGTCTCTGATCTCTGTCCATGGAAAAGAGTTTTCAATCTTGCAGGATAAATTACCATCTCTGAGTATTTGAAATAAGTAATAATTAAGTGTGGCACGGGTGTAAAAGTAAAAATTTAGTATTCTAGATTAGGGGTTCAAAGGGGACAAGATGGAGGAAATTGGGAGTGTCTTGTCCTTTTTCCCCTTCTTCATGACCTCCATGTTTCACTGTAGTGTTGGCATTTTTCTATTTATTTAGGCTGGGGACACACTATTCAACGTAGATGATAGATTATTGTACATTATTGTAAATACAGCACACGTAGTTTCTGGTATTTAATGTTTGTAACATCCCACTGAGGGCAGAGCCCTGCACGCTGCCCTGCAGGACAGACCTGCAGCAGGGCAGCAGAACATGTTAGAGATAAGCAAAAATAAACAACTTTAAAAACCAGCACAGACAAATTATGACTTCTTCTTTGGCAATGGGGCAGAAAGACAGAGACTTTCTACTATCTCAGAATCACCAATACCACAAATTCCAACAAGCCTGGATTATACAGAGCTTGTTCTTTGTGGTGGCTCAGACCTGCAGCAGAGATCTGTGTGTGTAGCTGGTTCTGAAACAGTGCTGCGCCAAACTGATGGGTCAGCCAGCTGGTATGTGGCTGCACCTTCGATGCAGTTTATCCACATGTCTGATTTTTGTCTGCCAGCACACTGGCTGGAGAATGTGTGCATGTGTAGCATTTTGCCCAGTTGTCAGTCTATTTAATGGAATAAACATAATTGATAATTTTTGGGGGTTTTGTTAACTTGAAGTATGATTCCCAATAGGAAGTGTAAGGACCTCAAAGTGGCAATAAGACATGCATGCATCTGAAATGGACTTTATTGTATGTATATTGGTTTGGTCCTCAGCAAGTGGAAAAAAACTACTTGGTATTCATAGAGCACCAAAAATCCCCTTTCTGAAAAGTTTATATTCAGGGCATCTGGTCAGTAATCAAACTGATAATTGATGTACATGCTAGCACCTAGCCTGCAAACAGCAATCTTAATCTTGCTGCTGTGAGCTCCTATCAATGTTTAGAGAATTTGTTTTTTAAAGACACTGTGTTCTGTGACTTGGAACACTTAAGGGAAAACAAACATAATGATGTTCCCTTTGAAACCTTAGTGAGTAGAAAGTTATTCCTTTTGCTATTAGAGATAGTGGCAGTCAGCTGCCTTTCTGTAATGGATAAGACATAATAGCTGGATAGACATGGCTGGAGTTGGCTATGAAATACATTGAAAGTTAAAACAGCTGCATTTCAGGCATCATATTCAGGACAGCCACAAAGCAGTGAGCTGGTCAGGTTATGAAAAATAATCTTTGCAGTAGCCTTTATCTGACTGTAATCAGGCAAGACTGCATTTATAAAGACATGAAAGATGATCCTTTCCCAGAGGGTGATATGATATGTCTGCAGTGATCTAGGCAGCAGACTGAAGGCAGGCTTGCTGGGTACTACTCTCAGATTTGGCTGTATGAGTAAAAGTTGATGGGCAGTGATAAGGAGATTGAACAGAAGCAAAAACTGGGAGCAGAGTCTATGTTTTTATGTTTTCAAATAATAGGTTGGCTGTTAATCATATGGCACAGTGTTCCTGCATTTTGTAAAGGATTTTAAGAGATCTGTATAGCATTTGGTGGCAGCAGCTTTGTCTTTCACAAAATAATGCATTTGGGTTTCTACATTTGTTTCTCAGACTGGGATGACATCCCACCTTCGTCTGCTTTGGAAGTGATTTCCGAGGAAGAAGCTGTACAGATCATTGCAGAACCGCTTCTCCCCATTCAGTCTTCCACGCTCCGAGAGTATGTTGATCACTCAGAAACCCTCACAAAACTTGTCCACCTAGGTATGTGTGATTTTGTTTGTGTGCTCTGCCTATGGCAGGAGCTTTGGAGATCCTGTAATTTCTGCTTTGCTCCTACTGATTAACTTGTAAACTTGAAAATGGGAAGGGTGACCAATGGTAAAAAGCTGCAGAATGTTATCCAGGGTAAATGGATAAAAAGAGGGGACTGTGTCACTAGCAATGCCATACTACTGGGGAACAGCTGGCTGGTGTTAGTCCCTTAGTGCTGTGGATGTTAGAAGGAGGCATCTCCCACAGCTTCAGGAGGTGGGGATTGCTGTTTAACTTAATTGGTCTTTCTTCTTTTGGGTTGGTTAAGGATGCTTTAATTTGCTGCAAAACAATGTGCAGCTCTTCATCCTTGGAAGGAAGGAAAGAGAATGTTTGCTATGCATAATCTTAGGAGTGGGGCACAGCACACTGGAGAGGCAAGAGGGAAGGAATTGATGAGAACCTTCCTTCTCATCAAAAAACACTTTGACTACAGAGATAAGAAAATTCAGGCTTTCTCACAACCTTGTTGCTCAGATGTGCAAGGAAGAGTAGAAAGAGGTTGGAGAAATTAATATTTGAGAGGGGGAATCTGTCCCCTGTAGTAAGAAATTGTTATGTGTGAGTCAGTATACAAAGTCACTTCACTGCAGAATTGTCATCTTCTCTTTTATAGCAGATTTGGGAATTTCCTGCACACATACTTGAAACAAGAGCAGGTTTCTAAATGTGATACATGCAGGATTCACTGCAAATGTCTTTCTTCAAAAGTTAAACTCAGCAAAAGCTTCTAAAATGACTGCTTATTTTATCTGGAGTCCTTCCACAATATACAAGGTGGTGGAGCCTTGCTGTATTGAGTAATTAAAGTATGCAAAATCAGTGCAAAACATTGAGTAGTCCTATAAATTCCAGCATGCCTTTGGGAAACATTTACAGAAAGCAAGATCTGTGTTTAATTAAAACAACTTCTGATTTTGTTTGTTGTAGGAGTTGACTTATCCCAAGTGGAGAAACGTCAAAAGGCAGGTCAGCTCTTACTGACCTTGGATTTTGAAAAAGATGTAAAAAAAATACTTCTGTTTCTTAAGGATGTGGGTGTAGAAGACAATCAACTGGGACCATTCCTGACCAAAAATCCATATATCCTTGGTGAAGATCTGGAAGCTTTAGAAACCAGGTAAGCCTTTCAAGTAGCAGCAGGATGTTAAGCCCCTCGGCTTGAAGATCTGTTTTCCTGGTTGGTTTAACTTTGTCTGAAGGAACCTGTGCTGCCTGCTGCCTCATTTCTTGCTCAACCCCTGGCTCCGTATTCTTGTGCCTCCCCATCTTTTGGCACTAACATGTGATGGTATCATAAGTCAACACCTTCATCCACCTGAAAACTGTCTAGTAACAAATTTTACTGCCCATCCCTGTCTCTCTGCCGCAGAGGAAACAGCTTGCCACCTTAGGCCACTTGCTTTACTCGTGTCAGCTTTCTTTCCAAAATGACATCCCTGAGGCTTTGCATAAATTTGTAGAACAACATTAAACTCTTCAGTCACAATTTGAAACATCATGAATTCTGCAATCAAAGAAGCAGACCAGATCTCTTCTGTGTTGAGATCTAATAGCAGCAGGAGGTTTTGGTGACTTTTTTCCTGTTGTCCAGCTGAAACTCAACACAACACTGCAATGAACTAATTTGTGTGTGTGTTCGTTCACACTTGTATGGCCCTAAAGTGTTCTTCAATCCTTAAAATGAATGTTAATTTATAACATTATTCCTAATTCAATAGTTTTCTTTCAGAACAACTCATGTATGTTTGTGCATGTTTAATGAACTCAAAATTTCCCAGTACTCCAGAGAAAAAGTCTTGTTGCCTTAGCTCTTGCATGTAGTAGCATTTCTATCTGAAACAGAAATCTGAAAGTACAGATGTTTAGAAACAGGCACGTGAGTAGACTCTTGTATAACACAGACCTTCTTTCCCCTCTGTTCTTCTAATCTTGTGTTCAATAAGTGGCCTTTTAGAAACAATATAAAAAAAAAAATACCCTGTGTCATATTCCAGCAGTGGTTCTGAGTCTAGATATCAAACCAGACTGCTTATGCTCTTCTGAAGTTTGGGTTTTTTTTTGTGATAAATATCCTAACTCTTCCATGAAGTCAGATTTTATTTTCAGTGTCTGTGGCACTGGCTGGTTAGTGAAGCAGGGGCTAAACAAAGCAATCCGATTTCTTCTTAATTTTCTGCAGTATGATTCTTCTGTAAGTTTGATACTGGTGAATGATTTCCTGCAAGCTTTAAAGTAAGTGTGCTATAAAGGCTGTGAAGTGAATGTGTCTCAAATAGCTGTCTTTTGAAAGCTGAGTATCACCTTTGCATAAACAGTTCAGTGCAGATGGATGTGGTATTGGTTACATCACTCTGGAATGTTTTATTGCTATGGATTCCATGTTGCCAGGAAACAAAACACAAATTTCAATAGGTTTGGCATTTGACTTCAGATAAACACTGTAAAAGTCAAAACATTCCATAATTCCTAACAATTCTGACAGTTGCAAATCAGTCTCTGTACTGCAGCTGCACCAGATGCTTTGTTTTATGCTGGTGTTAATAATGACTTAAAACTGTTAACATGCTACATAGAACTGCTGAGCCCTGTAGTGGAACGAGGGCTAACCTCGGTGCCAGTACTCACAGATGTATCTCAAACTTTGGCCAGGTTGGATAGTTGTGTTCCTTTAATATTCTAGTTTCTACAGTCAGGTTGCTACAATCTTGCCATCCCTTTTTTATGTTTCTTGCCTTTCCAGGAAGAAATGCTTCAAGTGTGAATCTTAATGACTTGTTAACAGAAAAGAAGTGGAGTCAGGACAGCCAAAAGATTTGATTTTTAATTTGCTCATTTAGCTTTTTCTGGGATGCTTGGAAGCTGTGTCAGTTCCATTGTCATTGTCTGGACCCTAGGGTGCTACCTTCTGTGTTGGGGTACCTGCTCAGTTAGGAATTGGTCCTCTAGAGCTTGTTTTTATATCTTCCATCTGGGAGTTTTTGGCTTGTGGTAATTTAATTTCTGAGGATTTGTGGAAAGAGGAAAGTTGTAGTGACTGGAAGGTAATTTTATTTTATTTCTCTTCACGAGACATCGTTTAAGAGAAAGACCATTTTTTGCTGAATATCTGCTTCTGCAGAATATTCTGCAACCCATTTAGTACCTTAATTACTACCAGATAAACAATTCTTGTATGCCATAAGTTGATCTGACTGCAAATACTTCTCATATTGCAATTACTCTCATCTCTAACCAGAGAAAGCCTCTCCAGATTATGGTTTAGTTTTTTAGTATATGGTAGTATGTGGATTAATTTTGTCTCTTTACTTTGTGTGCTGTATTTCTCCTCTTCAAGCCTTTTTTCCTGGGAGCTGTGGTAATCATCTACTGCAAGGAGTACTTGAAATAGCATTTCACTTTCACTGAAATCAACAAAGTTTGGAAAAAAATTTTGACTTGGAAAGAAAGAAAGCAAGCTCTGTTAAATATCAAAACTTGAGTCAACTCCTCTTGCTTTGTGACAACCAGATGTTTGTTACTCACTTGTTAGACCAGTGACTGAAAACAGGGACCTATTTGTGGCAAACACAACTTCAGCTGATGTAGAAATGTCTTCTTTGACAGTATCTCTGCACACAGCATCATTGTATGATATTTCTTCTCCAATGCTATTGGCAAAACGGGAATGTATGAGGTGTAGTACTCCATTCTTTTAGCAGTTGAAATGGAATTCATTAAAATAGCAACAGGCTGTATATATCTTCTTGTCCATACCCTATTAATGTGTTTGCAATTTAGGAGACAGACTGGTAGTTAAGTGTAGGTTAACATAGGTATCTGCTTATGTACAGCTGGAAGGAATTAAAATCTGTCTTCAGTATTGACATTCTGCTCTGAGGTTTATTTTACTTCTAATTAATTGGAAGGGAGGGTATTTTGCTTTTACGATAACTGTAGATTTCACCCTAATTATTTTTGGCAGGGTTGCATGTTAATGCTAGAACATCTGTCCATTTATAAGATACCACTGAGGAATTTAAGTGATCACTGAATAAATGGAGGCAATATAATTTTCATCACTGGATTTTATTTTGTTTTTGCTCTTTTTCTAGAGTGGCTTACCTAAAATCAAAAAAATTTGGTAAGTCAGAAATTGCTCAGATGGTCTCAAGAGCTCCATATTTGCTGTTGTTTTCAGTGGAAAGACTGGATAACAGACTGGGTTTCTTCAAAAATGAACTTGGTCTCAGTGTAAAAAAGGTAAAGACTGAAGTCTTTAGGTATTTTGTTAGTGACAGTTGTAAGGTCTTGCAATATGAATACACCAAGTGTTTGGAGGTTATCAACAAATACTGTGTTATCATCAGTAGTGCCACTAGAGGGTTACAGGAAGGTAAAACGGTTTTAACTGTCTATGGAAGTGATATGGACACCTAATATTCAGAGGACCTGAAGTACGGTTTCTGAAGATCATGTGCTACAGATTATTATTAAATAAGCATGTGTATATCCAGTTCTATTATTTCAGGTGGGTCAGAGGACTGAATTAATTACTGGAACAGCAAGCAGCTCTTTAAACTTGTGGAAAATTATTTTGTGCTCTTCATCTCTTTAAGATACTGCATCATACTTAAATAATTTTAAAAATTGTCTAATCTGTGAATATCTTATCAAGATAAATGCCAAATCATACACACAGTTCTCCGAGAGTGATCTCTGTGTTAGCTCATGGGTGCATACCACGTTATGCTTAGTGGGTATTCAACACCATGCTTTGGGATCTTCAGGGCAGGTAGTAGCTGGACTTGCCTGGAGTAAATGGGCAGTGTTAGTTGTGTCCAGCAGTAGGTGGGGATTGCAATGAATGCCAAATTCCAAGTGGAATCTGGTGCTCTATTAGCTGAACCGTCATAGCTGCTACAGTGCCGTTGCTGGCCTTTCCATATTTGAGGTGAGACATCTTCTCGGAAAAAGGTTTAGTCACCACCTTGTACTCAGGGTGGATTACAAGTAATCAGACACTTGAGAGAATGTGGAGTAATTTCTTGTAGTGCTGTTACACTGTTGTCTAACCAGATTCAGAAGTGAGCTCCACTGCCACTGGAAAATCCTTTTATAGCCTCCATTGGGGGGTAGTGTGTTGTTAACTTTTTTTAAAAAGATGGGAAGAAACAGCTTCAGGGCTGAGAGAAATTGGGCGCTTGAGCATACTTTCTCCTTTTGATGTATGCTTTTGCTCCCTCTTCCTGTCTGCTTTACAATTGTATTATTTTTTGTTGTCCAAAAGAACATATTTGAGTAATGTTTTGCATCTTTAAAATACTGCTGTTTCATGCAAACTCATCTTTGGTCTAGAGATAAAATGAAATGCAAAAAATAGTTTATATAGGATCTTTCTTTCACAGATAGATAAAGAAGCCATCAGTAAAACTCTTTTAATTTATGTGGTTTTTCTGATTGTAGACAAAGGATCTTGTAATTCGTCTTCCAAGGCTCCTGACTGGCAAAATAGAGCCTGTAAAAGAAAATCTTCAGGTGAGTTTATTAATAGATATTACAACTGTATTGTGTATAGTTTAAGAGTTGTCAGAAGATAAAATTCCTATAGGGGGTTGTGTACAGAAAGAATTTAATGAAATTATTTTAGTGGTGATATAAAATAACTGTTAAACAATGTATTTTCCTCTATAGTGTGCAAGCTTATTCAATGCATGGAGCATTACCTTATTCTGTCTTCTACTCTGATGTAGTGCCTTCCTGCCAAAAGTTGCTATATGATGACATAAATGGTTACACATTTTTTAATGAGTAGAAAAATACTCAGTATTCCCCCCACCACACTTAATTATTATGGGTTTTTGCTAACTTGGATTGTCCGTGCATATTTAGGAGCAAGAAATGTGCAGTTGATTATTTTCTCCTGGCAGGTAACTAGCCTGCCAAAATGTGCATTTGACACCTATTGTCTGATAGCAGATGGTCGTTATTAACACATATTGGGTAAATAACTTCAAACCCTTGGGGATTCCTTTCCCTTTTGAAAATGTAACTGTATTGCTTTAATTACCATGCTGTAAAGCCATCGAGGCCAAACAGCATGATGTAGTGTAACAGTTTGTGAAATTCCATTATCCTATAACAAATAACTATAAATCAAAATGTATCATTTTCAGACAGACTCACTGTTCTGAAACTATTAAACATTAGAAATCTTGCAATCTGAAATGTGTGTGTGGTAAGGGAGGAGACTGGAAAGTAGCAGACTTTTCTAATTAATTGTGCTTTCTTTTTAACACACACTGTTTCCACAGGCTAGGGAGCCATTATTATAATGAATGTGTTTTTAAGATCTTTAGTTCTATGTGACTATCTTGTTTATCTACCAAGAAATACAGCATAGCACCTCTATTTTTAAAATGTGTGAGAGAGAGGAAGGAAGGATTATTAAATTTCCACTGTTGGAATCTTCTCTGATTCTTAAAAGCTCAAGCTTTTCAGGAGGTTGGATTCAGAATCTTTGTTCAGATCTGTATGTCCTAAACTGGTGGGGGAGAGGACAGTACTTGAAAAGTGAAATCACATACCAGCAGTTTGGAAGTGATCAAGTTGTATCCCTCATTTTGAATGGACTGTTCTTTGGAAACAAGTACAGTAGCTGATCTTGGTTGTTGTAAGATAACCAATCATGGACTAAATGTGCTGAAGTCCATCCTCTGAGAGTTTAATCAAGCACAATTAGAGATTCATTGACAGGGTAAAACCTGTCAAAGCTTTCATTACTACTGCCTATTGTGGGAATAATACATACTTCATTGAGTATTGCTGAGGCTTGCACAGTAAGGGTATTAGCACGTGTGGCCTAGAGAGTTATTGAATATTAAACCCGTTTGCTGTCAGACTGAGTGCAGTCCAAGCAACCTACACTTGAGCTCACTGGTCATGTCGAGGGAGCTGTTCCATGGCACAGAATTGAAGATAAAAGCTCAAGATTCTTGCCACAATTACCTTTACAGTGAGTCCAGCTTTGTACCTGCAGTGATTTAACATGGGATCTTAACTCTGGTTGTGTATCCTGGTGCAGGAAAGTTAGCCCTGCCAACTCAGGTCAATGGAAGATACCACTCATGTGGTAACACTTATTTTCATACCAATCAACTAAGACAGCATTTAAGTATTTTGTGTGGTGCACAAGTATTTATAAAGCAGAAAAGCTAAAATGAGGAGTTGAAAGACCTGATTATAGTTGCCTCTAGAAACAGTTCTGTGTAAGGATTTGGAAGTCTCAGGTAAATTCAAAACCCACATTCTAAGCCCTTCCCTTCATATTTGACAAGCAGTTCTGGAAAAGAGCTGCAGTCTTGGCACATCAAATTGGGCAAGCAAAACCACCACCTTCTTACCAGTTGAAGTACCTTAGTTTGATACGAAAGTCTAGTTATGTTAACTGGCAAGCACACCCATTTCGTGACTGAAAACAAGCTGCTTGTGTCACTGGAGGATAGAAGAAATTACTGAGTTAATAGGCACTCTTGTATGCTGAATTCTTTCTCAACAACTCAATAAATTGCTTGCCATTCTGCACTTTGGGAGGAGTGCTCATGGTTTTATTGAAAAAATGTGTTTTGATTTCCTTTTGGGAAATCATAATTGAAGTCAAGGCAGTCTTGAAAAAGACATCTTACTTTAGGCTTCATTGAACTGTAGAATAAATCAAATACACTACATATTCTACACATCTCTTTTTAGGTTTAGCAGTCTTAAGTTGAAGACTATAGAAGTTATATTCCCTATTATACAAGTGTAACTTGGATACATTAGCAAAAGAGGTAACACATTAGCAAAAGTAGGCACTAGCTACTTGATGGCTGTGTTGTACAGAGCTTATCAACTCCACAGGAAGAAAGTCTCTTGACAGTTTGGTATTGAAAATTATAAAGGACTCTTAGTGGAGAATTTTTATGCTTTTAACTGCCATACATATGGTGACATGGTTTTTTTGTTCACTTCTCAGACAAACTGGAAAATGCATAATATTCACAGAAATTATCTTTATTTTGGGGATATTCTATAAACAAATTAGACTTTAATGTAGAAGGATAAATAATTTGCATTGTCTGACTTGAGAAAAACTGAAGTGGCAGATATTTTTGTGATTTGCATTCTTGTTGCTGTGTGAAAAAGGATAGAAGAATTTTGCATTAGTTTATTTCAGTGTCACATTAAAATAAGCCAAGTTTGCTGTAGCTGACTTGCAAAGATAAAATTGTGCTCTTTTTCAGGTTTGTCAAATTGAACTTGGTTTTCAACGTAATGAAATTCAACAGATAGTGTGTAAAACTCCCAAGATTTTAACTGCAAGTAAAAAGAGACTCAAACAGACGTTTGACTACTTACACAACATAATGGGCATTCCCCACCACATGCTTACTCGCTTTCCTCAGGTGAGCTGTTAACCTGGGAATAAATTGTAGGTGCTCTTGTCACTTCACTAATGTGCTGAAGGTGGAGCCTATATACAGAACATAAGTCTTCAGCTAGCCTGTGGCTTTTACTCTCATTGGGATAACTGTTAGCAATCCAGAAACTATTGAAGATTTCCATATGGAAATGCCGCTTATTTTTCCTTAGCATATGTGACATCACTACCCACAGCCTTGTGATATTTAAGGTTTTCAATAGAGGTAGTCATGCTCATCTCTTCTGTGTTCATGCAAGAGAGACTACTGCCTGCTTAGGGATTTGCTTGTCCTGAAATCTTACCTAGGAGACACAAGAGAAGACAGATTATGCAGAAGATCTGTTCATTAGATAACGTTATATATATATATAAATATAAACATTTATTTCAGGTTTGTCTACTTAAAAAATAAGCTTTAGAAATTTTAGGATCTGAAAATACAGTGTAAAGGTTAAGAGAAGTTCTGTCCATTAGACAATCAGATTATCATTGGTCTTTTTATTGCTGCAGCAATTGCTAAAATACCACAGGATTGAAAATAGATTCATTTCTTGATTACTATCTTGGATTTTTTTTCTACCTCCTCATTACTGCTATTTCCTCACAAATTAAAAGCTGAAAGTGTTAGTTACTTCATTCAATGCCTACATGCAGTTGCACTATCTTCTTATAAGGTAAAAATGAAAGTAGAAATTACAGCTTCTGAATGGCAGTAATTTTCGTTCTAAAGTAAGTCTAGTAAAGAATCTAAGTGGGTAGAAAGCCAAAATTGCATGGGGGAATGAAACTACTCAGAATTTTATCTTGCTTTTAATCTGTATTTATTTAACAAGGATGGTTGCTCTTATGCTCATCTGTGTCACTTTGCCCTCCTTGATCTGTGAGTGATCGCAAGTTTTGCTCACTTCTTCTCAGTTGTCTTATTGTTGGCTTTATGGTGGTTGACCTCACTATTTTTCTTCTCTTTGTTTGGTAGGGTAAGTGGAGTGTTTCCTCTGTTCCTTTTTTTTGGCACAGTCTCTCCTCTTTCCTGTTCTTCTCTTTCACTCTCACACTGTGAATTCCAGGATACTGGCTGTGCACATCAGTCTATATATGGTTGGGCCTTGAACTTGTGCCTTCACAAATGCATATTTATCTCCATCTGTGCTCACTTTTATCCTGATTGACAGTAATGTTGAAAATAGGAAGTATATGGAATTTTATTTTTTGGGGTTAAATTCTTTCTGATGTTACAGTTACTATTGTAACCATTCTGTCAGCTATCTCACTAAATGGTGGTCAAGTGGTTTTTTTTTTTATTCTGTGTTTTGACTGCCTCTTAAAATTCAAGGAAAGTAGAGGAGGAACAGTAGTTTTGTTTTTCCCTCCTTGTTCAAATTAGGAGGGAATCCTAATATAACTCTCTACTTCCTCATGGAACTCTACTTCCTTCAATGGAGTCTCTTTTTTAGTTAAATCTCTGCTTCCTGTAGCATTCATATTTTCATCATTATCTCCTCTATTGGCATCTCTTTATATTCAGTTTTACTGCTCAGGAATGAACTTAGATCTTTGCTTTTACAACTTGACAGTGCATCTCATTTTCCCCACTTCCCTCTCTCTTTAAATGTTCTGTTGATTTCTTTTGTGTTTTCCCGTACTGTTGTTCTCATCTTTGACTGTCTAGATTTTTTTTTTGTGGCAGGTATCTTCAAAGGTAGGCATTGCTGTGCAGTAGAAGACAAGTGGTTGTTTTGACCCACCAGTGTGCCTTTTGGCCATGTTATGATGACACCTTTGCCCTTGCCACTGTGCCAGTTTGTTGTTTTCATTATGCCATGTGGTCACTTCTTCATTTCTTCCTTGTAACAGTGGTCATTTGAATCTGTCTGATGCTACAGGGAAAGTGCTCCCTATTACTGAATATCTCCACTTTCTTGGCTGTGATTACACAAAAGTAATAGTTCTTGTATAGAAACAATTGTCAAGCACATTAGGTTTTTTGTATCACTCCCTGTTTTTTCTGGTGTATGTCAGCATATTGTATTGAAGTATTTATTTATAGTTTAGATAATTTAGATATAAATGTAACCTACCTGGTGTTTGACATAAAGGAAAATAAGTGTGTTATTTGTTTGCTTCCTAGATCTTCAGTTTGTCTAAAAAAGGCTCTTGCTTTCAATGCCTCAGGGTCTGAAATTTAGACAAGCTAAAAATTCTTCCCTTTTTTCTTTCTTAGGTTTTCAACTCAAAGCTATTACGAATCAGAGAGAGGCATATGTTTCTTGCATTCTTGGGAAGAGCCCAATATGACCCAGCACAACCCAGCTACATCTCCCTGGATCAGCTGGTATCCTTGCCTGATGAGGTGTTTTGTACAGAGATTGCCAAAGTGTCTATGCAGGACTTTGAAAATTTTTTGAAAACACTTTGATTAGTAACACATGTAAAAAATTGTAGAATTAAGTTATAAAATAAACATACTTTATAAAACTACTTCAAGGTCTCTTAACTTTTTAATTACTGGTTTAAAAAGTCATTGTTTATGAAGCATGTAGGATTTAAAGGCTTACATTAATGCTTATAGTAACTTAAAAATGTATTTCAGAAGGATTGAGCCAATATGTTGATTGCTACTAATACAAGTCTTGTAATTAATTGCAAACTTAATTGAAAATGGATGATGCAGCACATTAACAAAAAAGTAAATTTAAATTCTTTTTTTCTTTTGATAATGGCAAAATTCTGGGAGATTGGAAAACTGTCTAGTGACTTATTCCCTGTCTTCCCCTCTGTTATCTTCTCCTTTCACCTTCTTCCCCAAAAATAAGAATAAGAGAGTGTGGTATCTGCTTGAGCTAATAATAATGTTACAATTTTCCTTGTATGGTAGAAAGAATCACATCATTAATATGTGAAGCACCTCATACAGAAAGGCATTCTTTCAGTAGGTTACAAAGGTGTTTCCTTGTGAAGCTGGCTGCTGAAATGAGTATCTGAAAAGCTGGTTAGAAATGTCAAAAAAAACCTCCAAAAACCCACCAGCAAACGGAATTTAGGAAAGTGATAAAAAGAAAATAAAGTTGTTATTGTTCCTGAAATCTAGAAGAACTTTATTTTATTTACTTTTCCCTGTGTTCTGTTTTTTTTCCTCCCATACTGATGAGATTTGTGTGGCTTTAATATACATGTAACCATATGAAAAGAGGCTGTAGTATATATGAAGGTGATAGAGTTGGTCAGTTGTAAAAGCTGAGGTAAATGCTGACATTGGGCATCATGAAAGTATTGAAAATACTTATTCTTTAAACAAAGCAGATTAATATGGAATTATCAAATGCTTCACAGTGTATTTGGGAAAAACTAAAAAGCTGCCTAAATCCACACTGTTTGATGTTTCGAAACTTCCATTCCTTCATTAAAAACAGTTCAGGAAATCTGAAATCCAGATGTTTTAATTTGGATTTGAGCTTATTTAATGAAAAAGCCTCAATGTTTTAAAACCTCATTGTTGAAGCTAAAAATAGCAATTTTTATGAACACAGCAGAAAAAAATCCAAAAGGCTGAATTCTACTAATAGGTGGGAAATATAGTACGATTAAAGACAGTTAAAGAATGAGAATATAGCAATCTCTGGATTATGACTTTGGCTAAATTCTTATTCATCCAAATGAAGAATTTGAAGAGTGCTTGAAACACATTGAAAAACCACATTCATTATCTGCAATATATATCTGAGGTGATCTCTTTTGTCTTTTTTCTTATGTTTTCTGTTCCATTGGCCTGGAAAGATTGCTTGAAATACTCTGTCAAATAGACTGTTCTTAGTCGAGATGAGTAACAAATTTCACGGCCGCTGAAATGTGCTGACTAAGCACTTCCCCCCCATTTCCTCCTGTTAAATAGAAGTCTCCAAAGTCCAATATGCTTACTTGGATTTTTGACTGTATTAAATGCTAATAAGAAACTGTAATCTTCAAACCATCTTGTAAAAAATGTTTATAGTGAAAATGTTAATTGAAAAGTATGTGGGTTCATAATGTTGCAGTCAACTTTTGCAGATTTGCTCCACTAGCCTTATTACTATGTATTACCATGTGGCAAACCATTGTAACAGGAATTATATTACAGAGTGTTTATATTTTGAATGCCTCAAACTTTGAGCTTTAAATTCCTTTAATATTTTTAAACGTAGGAATGATTGCTGCCAGAGCTAAACTAGTTTATTTGAAATGTTGAGTGCACAAGCTTCTGCCGAAATAGCTTCTCCAAACCACGATGGAGACAATGGGCCAAAACATTTAAATGGAATGCTAAAATGGAAGGGGAGAGGGGATCGAAAACCTTTTTGAGGATCATGACAAAAATTTGTGGCTTTATGATTAAAAAAAAAAAAACCCACAAACTTTTCTGACTGAAATTGCCCACTGCGTTGCCTGCTACGTATTTTGGGCTCCCCCCAAGTCCGCATTTTGTTTCTTTCAAACGGCAGTGGTCCCCTCCTGAAGGAAGGGCTGGGCAGATGCAGCGCTGTGTGCCTCAGAACGCAGCGCCGCTCACCTGGCGGCTGCGATTCCTGAGCAGAGATCGCTTTCTGCTTCTCGGCGCGACCCGCCGTCGCTTGGCTTCCCGTGCTTTCCAAAGCTAATTTTCGTATTTTTGTTGTGCCCGCCCTCCCGGCAGAGCGCAGGCGCCGGGCCGGCAGTGCCGGCGCCCCGCCCCGCGCCCTTCCCAGGAGGCCGCGCGCCGCGCCGAGGTCAAGATGGCGGCGAGGGCGCCCGGTGAGGCGGCGGCGCTGAGGGGCGGCGGGCGCTGAGCGGCGGCGGGCGCTGAGCGGCGGCGGGGCCCGGTCTGTCCTGGCCCCCGCCCGCCCGCGGCGCCGGGCTCGCCCCGGCCCGCGCTGGGCAGCGAGGCGGGCCGTGACGGGGCGCGGGGGAGCCGGTGTGCACCGTGTGCCCTTGAGGGGACGGCGAGTGCCGCTTCCACAGCCGCCGGGCGAGTCTCCTGGCCGGCCGTCCCGTGGCAGCGGAGGGAGCCTGGCTGCGATCGCTGGGCTAGGCAGGGCTCGGGAGCTGTGCAGCACATGAGCTCTAGTGCTCCTGAGGGGCCTCGGGCATTGCTGGCCTGCGCGGACACCGGCTCGGCGCGCACTTGGTCTAAGGTTATTCCTTGCCTGTTCTGAAGGACGAAGGGGTAACTAAGTAACCTGCGGAGGTGGTGCTCTAATGACCTCCTTTGGGGTGTTCTGGGGTGACGTGGTAAGAAGATGACTTAAAAGTCACGAAAAACAGCTGGCCCTTGCTGCATTGCCTGTGTTGCGCCGTTCGTGGCCTTCTAGGCCCCTTGTTGAGGTATTTGATTATGTGTAAAGGCACCTCTGCCGTCCCAAACCACATTTAAAGGAAGGTGAAAGTGCTGTATGCGGTGTGGAGGTCTGTTTTTTTGTCTGATTTTTTTTTTTTTTGAGATACTAGTATGGATTTTGTGGTTGACTCTGGCAGCTCCTTGAAAAAGGAATGGCATTCCAGTATCTGGAGAGGAGAGCAGAAGGTTAAAAGTATAATAATATGCTGGGCTTGAAGTCACGTAATGAAAGCCAGGGAAATTAGACAAATTGTTGGAAAAGCCTGATGGTTTTTCTTTATGTAGACACTATGGGTTTGGCTTATGTAAGTGTTACAGAGTCTTAAGAGTTTTGTTGCTGTCTTTGATGAGGAATTGGTAGTGTTTTTCCAAGTCTTAAAGCAGCCCAATATTCCGATTTAGTGCAATGGGTTAAACTCTTGTATGTAATGAGCAGTCCTATCTGTTCAGTCTCAGGAGAGTAGAGGCTGAGTCATGAATGGTCAAATTCAAACATGATGCAATGTTACATTACTGCATGTGTTGGAGGCCAAATATTTGTGTACTGCCACAATAATATATAAGTGTTGAACTTTACCTTGCTGTGCAACTGATGATCGTCATGTTCAGTTGCAGGAGGTGGTCGCCTGTTAGACAAGATTTGCAAGTGGTATTACAATGCAGCTGGGTTCAACAAATATGGTAAGTGTTTCATTGAGCTGTAAAAACTGCAGATATAACAGTTCTCAAACTAGTTGTGGTTCATAGCTGGCATATGTACATGCAGGTTGGCATAAATCCTTTTGATCAAAACTAGCTCCTACTTCTGTGGCGATAAAAGTTGGCAATAGCTTCAGTTATTTCTGTTATTTCCAGTATTTCTGTGTTTGCTCAAGTTCCAGTGAATTAACTTATAACAGCTAAGGCTAAGCTGGGGAAGTTGAAAAAACTTTCACAGAGCAATCCTGAAAAATCAATTATTTGTTTCCCCACTGAGTCACTTTCACTGGCCAGTGTCTTCTAACCCAAAGACTGTCCTTGAAGCTGGAGAGGTTCCCACTGATAGTAGTCAGCCTATCTGCAGTACTTATGCAAAGCATCCAAAGTGCAAAGAAGGTTGTAGTTATTCTGCCCTTTGTGTCACCATAACCTCAGCTGGCATCACTCTGGCCTGCACAGCAGTGGAATAGGTGTCAGTACAGGGCTTCCTTAAGGACAAGAGGGTCCCTTAATGGTATTGTCTTCAGTTTATGCAGAGTTGTCACCAAGTTTGTTTCAACAATTTAGATGGTAGAACAGTTCTTATATGACAAAAATCTGAATATTCTGATGCTGCGATTTATTGCTCACCACAATACAAGCAAATCTCTTGAAGGAAGTTAGCATATCTGCCCTGGGGAAGTTAGAAAAAAAAATACAAGAAAACTATAAAGAAGTAGTTTAGATCCTTCCTCCAAAGATGCATGCTTAATTCCTTTTTGATAATGCCCCTCTGCTGAAATTCTTACTTCTGCTGCTCCTCTGCAAATGCGAGTATAAAATTAGAGAAGCACCAAATTCAATATAGTGATTAAACTAGCAGCAGTGCTCCCTGTGCCTTTGAAATAAATTACAAAACTGAATTTAAGAATACATGACTCAAAATAAGTTTTTGTTTTATTGGAACACTACTGCCAAATCAGTCACATGAGATGAAAACCTTTAACTGCAAGTCAGCAGGTATGCCACAGAATAATATTTTGTCCTATTTTGTTAATACTGAACCTTACAGAAAGGTTGGTTGAGTTTCAAGGATCCTTTGTTCCACAGAAGGTGTGGGAGTGGGTGTTTCTCCCTAATTTAAATTTCTCCCTGATTCTAATTTGGAACTCACACACCAACACAGAGCTTCAGGTCTCCATAGCTTCATATAGTCAGCAGAGGTCTGATCATTATGAACAGGGCAGTTTAGAGAAAAATTCGTCAGTACTGAAGGAGTCTCATCTGTGGCTGACTGACTAATGGATTCAGAGCTCTCAAAAGCCCTTTACCTGGACAGTCATTCTTAAACAGATACAAAATTAGATGCACATAAGTTCACTCTTTAGATCCAGAGAAGTTTTTGTTCTGTGTATGTATATTCTACATGAAACATATTGAATTAAATACCCATTTTCCTTATTTCTCTTTAAGAAAAGGAGTAAATAGAGTCTGTGAAATCAGTGTTTAGGACTGCATGTTCTCCCTAAGCAAATAGTGGCTCTCCTGGATTGGTTTGGCTTTTCTTCATAATTTTCTGCTGGAAGTGTTTTGCCCATGGTACACGGGCAAGTGTCAATCCTAAATCTTACTGAAGAACATACATTTATTCAGTGGTACTGTAAATTCTTCTTGGTACAGGGTTAATGCGAGATGATACATTGCATGAAGATGATGATGTAAAAGAAGCATTGAAGAGACTTCCAGAACATCTGTACAATCAAAGAGTATTTCGCATAAAGCGAGCGCTGGACTTAAGCTTGAAACATCAGATCCTTCCCAAAGACCAGTGGGTGAAGTATGAAGAGGTATGTGCATGGAGTGTTTCCAAGGTGCAGGTCTTAAGTGGCACTGCTAGGACTGGTGGTTGGGATTTTCATTCTCTGGAGAGACATATTTACATGTTCTTTATAGTGAATGAGTCAGGATATCGTGGAGTACCTCTGGAAAACACTTCTGATTGCAGTTTAAAAATCTGTTTTTCTGTACAAATTACTAAATTTTTGTCAAGATGACAGATGCTTAAGCTGCAGCTCAGAATCACAGCACATTTGGAATTCTTAAAGAAGGTCTCCTGCTTTTCTGATTAATTTCTTAATCTTGCAGAAAATATTGGGCCAAAGCTTTTATTCATTAAAGTGCTAAGGAAGAAAAAGTTGAAGGGAAAACATGCATTAAAATAAGTGTAATCTTGTACTTTAAAAAAACAAGCTGCACTTTATCAGATGTAAGTAAATTTTATTTTTTGGTAGTGAATTGGTTGACAGACTTTGCACTTTGCATTACTGTCCACTCAGCTTTCTCCAGATTACCTGGCAGAGAGGAATTTTATCATTAAACTTTTGATTATAGGAGAGTATAAAGGTATTAATGCATCTCTGAATAAGCAGAGGCTGTTTCTTTTGGTCTCATAGGTCATACTTAGGTAACTGCTGCACTGAATAATTGGTCACATATTTCCTCAAGCAGCAGTTTGGTTTGTAAGTGTTAAACATGGTCAGGTTGTTCTGATAGCGTGACCATGTTTAGCACTTACAAACCAACCTTCTAAACAGTGCTGTTTAGAAGCTAATCTCAAAAAGAGATTATCTGGAGTATTGTTGTTGGACTTCGAACTAATTAAAGTGGATCTTTTGTATTTGTGTATCTGCCAAAAAGATATCTGTTTCTAAAGGCACAGCTGGAAGCATCGCTTTGCCTGCTAATGTTTTTGAGGCGTTAGGAATTAGTAGTTGCTGCAGTAGAGCACTTGTCATCACAGACTTGGCAGATACAAAGTTTACCTTTTCAGGGTAAATAAGGCTGGATTTTTTGTTTTGGTTTGTTTTTGTTTTTTTTCCTTTTGTCAGTTATTGTTTAGTCAAACCTGGGAAGGAATGAGGAAGAAATAGTCTGTAGGAATGACTTGAGATGTTTCTGGACCTTGCTGTAAGTTTAAATATATTTCTTCTATATATCTCTTCTTTTTCAGGATCATCATTATCTCGAACCATACCTAAAGGAAGTAATCCGTGAAAGACAAGAAAGGGAAGCATGGAACAAGAAGTAACTGTTGAACTGCTTCATGCAAATATCCAGCTATTTCTGATATTTTAAACATTTGGTTGTAGAAGTCCATAGGGAGGTAATTGTGAGGCTGAGGAATACTGTTTCAGCTTGTTCATTGAGTCTGATCATCCAACTAAAATAAACATGTCAAAGTATAAAAATCTTGGAAGAGTTCTTTCTAAATGTTAACAAGCTAATGTTCGGATCTTTCCTGTGAGCGTATACATTACACACTAGCTTAGTGGTATGCAGTCTCATTCCAGCCTTTAATTCTTGCTTTTTTTATCATGCAGCTGTTTTCTGCAGTAGTAGAATTAGGTAAGAAATGCTCAAGGCTGTTGGTGGTAGTTGCTGTCTAAGTTAAAGAGGATTTGGTATTTAAAGATGCGGCTGTATTCATTCATCACTTGTCACTGCAGACAGCATTATTGAACCAGTGTTTGATGTTACAGTGGTATTGTGAGACAGTAATATTCTGTGTACCCAAGCAGATATGTATTGTAAAAGTGAAAAATATAGATGATTCCTTAATCATAAAATAGGAAATATTTCACTAACTTTTTATACCATATACATTGTTAAGCCTTAAAAACTATTTTCATGTAAACCGTAATGACTGTCTCACTTCAGCTTTTTGAAGAGAAAAAGTAATATTTTAAAGAGAAAAAGTAATATTCTGATGTGTTTTAAACAACATAGCACTTTACATAGTTAACTTCTCATGGGATTTTTTCATCACCTAAAGCATGCTCTAGTTTTTAGTGATTCGTATCAAGGAAGTACTGGCCCTTACTGGCTGAAAACCTGGAGTTTAGTCTTCCACAGTTCAATGGTAGTGTGAAGTTGAGGCAGATACTGGTATAAGGCATGAAATTCGGATCCTGTTGTATAATCTTCTGGATAAAGTTGAGAATCTTGCATGATGGCCTCAAGACTTGCTTTTTTCCTTTTATTGTGCATGCTTGTCTGCCAAATGCAACACTCAGTTTACCAAAAGAAAAAGGAGCAAACCACATCTGCAGTTTTGAATTGGTATGACCAAATAAATAAAATACTGGGTTAGAAGCTTTTAGCTTTGCTCATGACTCTTACTAACCGTCACCTGCTTGCTGAAGTCCCTTATATCTGTAGGATGGATACAGTGATCCTTCAAAACTTGACAGCCTCATGTGGCAAAACAAAATTCTGCAAAAATACCTACATTGTCAATACTCCTTTAAAGTCTGTGTGGAGAATACGTTAAGAATTTGAGGTTTCATTTTTCTCCTATAGTAAAATCTAATAATTGAACCATACATAATTTGATGTATTTTTGGGAACTTTATTATTTTCTTCCAAGAGACAAATGGGGCTTGAAATTTCATACTTCTCTTTATGGAATTATTAGAGTATAGTTTTCTATTAAATGAAATTAGAACTATTTCATTATCTCTTAGAATTATTAGAAGACTTAATTACATAGTGAAAGTGGTACTTTAAAAGCATAGCTGGTCAAATTTCTATGAAAGCTAGAATTCTGTGGAAAGGCTCTGCTTATTTGACCACAGGTTTGGATTAAGAAGAAAGCCTCTCAAAAATTACTTGGTTTGGACAAAAGGGCTTTGTTGGCATAAGGCGCTTAAAAATAGGCTGACCTATGAATAAAGTCCAAAGCAGCCACACCCCAGTTAGTCTAAAACATCTGAAACTAAATTACCCCTTTTCTATCAAATGTAACATCTTAAAGAGTCAGAGGTGAGTAGTAGAAGTTAATAAAAGAGTCCTTCCAAGTTATCTGGGTAGCTCAAGGGAAAGAGGAAAAAGGAAGCCAAGTTTCCTGTTCACTGAGGTTTCATTTAGATGAGTTTTCAGATGCTTCTGACTTGGATTGATAATTTTTAACTTTAAATTTCCATAATGTCCAAAGTAGTCTTCTGTTGAAGCATTTTGGAAAAATGTACTATTGTACTACAACTTCCAAGTTGTATCTTGGAAAGCTATTAGTAAGGAAAATGGTTTTTTGCCATTTTTTGGTAGAGATGGGTGTGTATTTGAAATGTTTGGGAGTGTCTAAAAGTGGTGAGGAATAAGGAGGAAGGAGGCCTGGTGTAAGACTGGCATCTGCTGCCTGGGAACCAGGAGCTATATCAGCTTTGTTTTAGAGACTAAACTCTTACTTTGGGGTATGTTGTGTGAGATTTGGATGCTTCTGCTACTGGCTAATGAATGAGTAGCTTGGGAGACATTTCATGTTTCACCTTCTGGTGTTCCCTTCTGTGCACATTGAGTTAACAAGCATTAATTTTAGCCAGAAGAAATGGGAGTTTTCTTGTATGTAGGATTTTAATCCTGCTGGTGACAAGTTGGAGGGTCAGCATGATTCCCAGTTTTGAATGCTTAAAATATCTGGGATGGGAAGGAATGCATTTGCAGAAATGCGGTTTCAGACCTGCAATTTTACTGTATTGATTCTACCCCACTTGTCCATCTCTCTGTGGGATCCTGCCCTCTGGATCATCCTGGCCTGTGCAGCCATTATCTTGCTATCTGCAAAAGTTGCCTCATTTTAAGGAAAAGCTTAGTAATAGTAAAGGGGATCAGATAGCTAGAGGAGAGAAGAAAATAAAAGAAAAAAGAAAATATCTGATGAGGAAGGAAAGGGCATTCTGCTTTGGAGAACTGGGATTCCTTTATTCTGCTATCACAAGGTTCTTCTGTAATACTAAGCAAGACACTTGGTTCACAGAAGCTTCATAAAAATTTTGCTAAGTGCTTAATATATCTCTGCTTGGAGCTACATCTGCAGAAGTACAGAGTAATCACATCTGGGTGATTCTGAAATGTCTGGATTCAGTTCATTGGTTCTGAAAATATTAGGTGCAACTGTTGGTATTTATCCATACACACAATGGTTACTACAGGTGGTGGTAGCAGGAGCAAATTTCACAGGGATTCTCACAATCATAATTCCTCTGGTGGTAAGTGCAAAAAAACTTGCATAGAAGACGATGTATTTGTGGCCTGTACCTGGTGCTTCCAGAAAGCAAGGATGAGTCGTGCACTGAAGAGGATTGTAAAGAATTTCTGAATGAGAATGCCTAAAATGTGAACCGGCAATTTAAGGTCATATCATCATGTACAATGCAACAGCAAATCTTGTATCTCCTTATTCCTGATTTTGAAATCTTCACCTTTGTTAATGTAGATTTTTGGATATAAATTTTGTAGGGATTACATATATTACTGAGGTATTTTTATAGTTCATCACATCTGAATTATTAGTGTGTAAATTAAGAGTCTGAGCTGGTATTGCTAGTCCTGCAGTTTGATGATAATTTTAGCTTAAATTATTCTTCATCAGTTTTGAGCAAACCTGTGCTTCACTTGAAGTTCTCTTTATTAAATACATAATGAAATATAAGAATACATTTTGATTGGTGAAGATCATGTTTGCTATGTCAGGTTGATTTCCTTAAATTTTGAATTGGTCAACCCCAAAACAATGGATTTTTTTCAGCACTGTAACAAGAAACATATGCTTGTTTTACATCCAAATTCCATCTGAAAGAGAGCTACAGCAGATACAAATCCCAGAAGAATTTTGATGAAGCATCGTGCTTGTCATTTTAATGGAAGCATTTTAGCATTAGTATGGTAAACGCATTCTGACTTGAGGCATTTTCTCTCTAGATAGCAAAGGTCAAAGATGACCTTCAGGATTTCTCCAGTGTTAGCAGTCGGTTTTTGTGGACTGCAACTGTGGCCAGGGCAAGGGCTGCTCTTGGGCAGCAGAACAGGCAGAGGCAACGCCTCCAGGGTGACATCAGGGTGACTTCTCTTCTCATAGCCTCTCTTAGCTGATCTACAGCCCAAAGGGCTAACATCTTGAAAAACTGTAGGCCACGAACTTCACTGTAAGAGTTTGTGTTAGCATCTAAATGCCATGGGGCCTGATCCCAAAACTTGTTTCCTCAAACTCCCCTGCTGGCCATGTGGAGCTGTAAGCTTCCTTCAGTGTGAAGAAGTTCCTGACTCACCCAGAACCTGTGCTGGTGTTACTGGGATGAAATGACAGGTAAGTGTGCCGTCCCAAGATGCCAGAAAGCATCTACACCTCTGCCTTCCTGGCAAGGTACGTGTTAAGACATGTTTGGAGAAGGAGCCCTCAATTTCTTCTGCTCGGGGTGATTTAATGCTAGATTATGCTGGCAGCCTGTCAGCTCAATTCTTTTTACTTCACAAAAGGTGTGGATTCAGAGTTCCCTTCTTGGTGAATGCTTACATATTTTTACATAGTATTTACATATTTTCTGCAGTGCAAGTGGGACTATTAATCCTTCTGGCTATTTCTTCTGCTATGAAAGATCTGATAAACTATCAGGAGACACGAGAACTTGAATCAGTTGGTTAGAGTTTTTTTCTAGGCTGGTTTATGATGTGCTGCAAAATAAGGGTAATGCCTGACTCCACCTGCCTAGAGGCACTCACCTGTCTGGGCATTTACTGCCCACCAGCTTCTGCCCTGCTTTCTCCTGTAGTACCTGAGCCCTGGCACTGGATCAGGGAGATAGGCCAAGGGCTTGAGTGAGAAATGCAGGGTAGGTGAGGGGTTGAGGTAGACTGAGGATTAGGGAATCATGTGCAGGGATCTGAAGGAAGTATAAAGAATATAAATTGACCTCAATCCCCTTTGCCTGCTCTGGAGGTGCACAGTGAGGATGAGGCGGAGTTGATGCATTTATGTGCAAACATGTTGTTTAATGCATTTTGGGAAATGGAACCACTGAGTATGCGCATGTGGAGAGAGGTATGAGGTGGTTTGACAAAGGCAAGGGTGCTTTTTAGGCCACTGCAGAGAGTGACACCTGTGTATCCTAACTTTTGGAATGCCAAGTTCATGGCACTCATTGAGGCTCAGGATTTCCCTAAAGAATATTTAAAGATCATGCACTGAACCTTATTGTGAATGGAATCCAAGCTGCCCCTTGCCCCGCCTCCAGGGTGCCCAGACATGGCCTAAGCTTCCATCTCCTGTGGCCCAACCTCATCTGTTTCTGTCATGAAAATTAGACCATCTTCAAGAAGACGCCCCCACAGTTACAGGGTGGGTTTCAGTTTCGGATGCTCACCTCTCTGCAGCAAAAGAGGAGCACTGGATCTTGTTGCTGCTGGAATTATTGTTGCTACTTTATGAGAATGTGCTGCATTGGTTCCTGTGCTGGGAAAGGATCTGGAGCCTGAAACCCGATCAGAAGGAGGTAACTCAGCGCAGCTGGGCTGTGCTCTCCTTAGCCCTTCCTAAAGTGGTTCCCCACTGGCCTAAATGGATCTGGTTCTTTGTGTCTAAATCTTCTGGATTGCAAGGGGCGGCTGCATAGTGAGACATGGAGTTAAGCACTGCTGCACTCAGTATTCCAACACCTAAGCCCTTTTATGAAGCCTCATACTCCCACTGCGACCTAGCAGATTGAAATGATTGTTTATAAGCAGCAAAGTTCAGAGTCCAAAGCTCAGATCTCTTCAAGGCACTTCAGAGGGTTTTCTGTCTGCAAGTTGTGTTCCCCAATGGAGTATTAGTTTTAAAAGATACTATTATGAAATAGTCATAAAAGCAGCTTGATCTGTTTGGTTTGCTTCAATTAACTAAAACTTCTCCAAGTTCTCCATGTTTCTCAGCCACAGTCTCTCATCCTGAAGAGTGTGGGTGAAAACTCCATCAATGTGCAAGCAGGCCCCCATCAATGCTCAGCACTCAGGCAGCCTGCTAGAGTTCACCACACTGTCGTGGTGGTGTAGAGGTGGCTCTGCTAAAAAGCAAGAGGTACCGTGCTGCCAGGTGAGGCTTGGCTCAGCTCTGCTCTGTGCACTGCAAAAGCCAAGGTACTAGAGGAGGGGTGAGATCATAATTTCGAAGCTCTGTGGAGGCAGTCATCCCTGCCTAGGAGCACTTAGGCTCCTAGGGCAGGGCAAAGTCAGGAGGACATGGGGCTGCACTGACAGCAACTAGACATGCTTTATTTATATATTTTATATAGCAACAACACAAAAAAATTCTCAAGAAAAATAAAAGTAACAGACCATATTTCCTTTC